CACACACACACACACCAACCCCACAACCCCCCCCACACACACACAACACATGAACCCCCCACCCACACACACCCACCCCCCCCCATCCACACCCCACAAACACACACCCACCCTACCACCGCTACCGTTTTCTAAAAATGAAAATCAATAGACAAATACACATCTAAACACGTTTTCTAATTTTTAAAACTGAAAATGAAAAATGAATAAGTTTTAACTAAACGCATTTTCTAAATTTTCCAATGAAAACCGAAAACGGAAAACGAAAAACAGAAAATGAAAACTGTTTTTCCGTAACTAAACGCAACCTAATTGTACCTGGTTGTATTTCTTTAGAGTTTCAGCATTAGCTATAAGTTCAAGAGGCCACGAGACCTACAATTAAAAAAGTATACACAACATGATCTTGATTATGGTCACAATTCTTATTTTCTTTCTATCGAGTAGCAGTAGCATTAAAAAAGTAACTGTTAGTTAGTTAGTCACCTTGTATGTGAAGTTAAGGGAGTCAAGGTCATTGATTCCAGAGACCTGTGCACGATGATTTTTACGGGGACTCGAGACAAGAAATGATGATGATGATGATGATGATGTAGTAGTTTGTTGAGCATCACCATCACTTTTTGTTAAAGATACAACTAAGGAATCCGGTGAGCTTAGTACTGTGGCATCAGCAGAGTTCCGTATTGAGTCCTGAAAACTCATTCATTCAGATTCAGTAAGCATCAATATACAATAATATCAACCATTATTAACCCATACCTGTAACACTGTGTTCAACTCAAAATCATCGTCCCATGATTCTCCTTTGTCCAGCTTATTGAAAACTACTGTCAAGAAATGCTGCAGAAGATCACCTGCTTCCAACAAACCTTTCAGCATTTAGATTCTCTTTTTAATAAATATGATTACCACCAAAGCAAAGCAATCAACATTTACATAGCAGCACTACCAGAGCCTAACAAATATACATCCCGCAGCACTCCCAGCTCAGCCATCAATTTCCAGTCATGTAGCAACTTTGACAATATCTGATTCCCAATATGATCTACCTGAAACATTATTCAAATTACAATTTACTATTTTCAATTTACATGCAGTCAAATATACCTGCTTCTTGATATAAAACGTAAGGCATTCCCTCAAAATAACAACAGGAAGTGGAGTAGATTTTGGTTCAACAGTTTGAATCCAGCCAAGGACTTTTGACACAAGGGTGCTGTTTTTTTGGAATGGTAAAACCTCCGACATCATAAGCTCCTCCTGTTTCCACTTGTAAGATTAAATATATATATATATATATATATATATATATATATATATATATATATATATATATATAATTTACTAGATAGATATGTGTTACCTTAAAGGACGGAAGGATAGTCGGAAATGGAAATAAAGATTCCACCACCTTTATGCCATGTTGAGAGCGAGAATCACCGAATGGAAAACCACAGGCATAACTTGTTCCTTTAGCTGTCATAAACTCTTCACCCATTCCACCAAATATAGCTTTCCTCAATTTGTCATCATTCAAAGGAGGGAGAATGTAGTTTTTAGAAAGGTTTAATGAATTCCAATCGTGGGTATTTGCTTTTGCTTGAAGAACCTTTTGGCATACAGTTATAGTGGGATTTTCAGGACAAAAGGAGCTAAGAACCAAATCTAGATTCTGTTCTACTTTCATGTCGTTGTTGAGTGCATCAGCCAAAAACTTATGCCAAATCTTCTCCGAGTATGCTACTAATAATTTCTCCGTTGAAGTTGCAGAAACAATTTTATCATTTTTCCAAAAGATTTCAGACATGTGATCACCATGACCAATCAGAGCTGTTAATGACAAACAAAAAATTTCTGACAAGCTTAGCTGATGAGTCATGCACCCTTCTTTCTCCTGATGCCTACCAACAAGTGTTGATGTGATAGGAATATGCTGGATCAGCTGCAACGACTTTCCAGCTGAAATTATTTCTTTTGCAATATCTTTCAAGAACAAAGGACAAACCACTTGATCATACTCATTTTGCCCCCTTGTTTTTGATGGAACTGATGCTACTTTTCCAGCCATCTTTTTCTGTGTCAAGGGAAATAAATCACTCACATGACCCACACTTAGCTTCTTATGCTGTGTTGATCTTAACAGGTAACTCTTCTCCCAGAATTCAGCCTCGTCTATAGCAATCGCTTTGTTTGCATAAAAGAACATCTGCAAAAATAAATAAATAAAGAATACAGTCAGCTAGTTAGTTAGTTAGTGTTTGGTATGATGATGGAAACAGAACCATGGTTAGAAGATAAGACTATAAACAGGTGGGTGTGAAATTGAAATTACCTCCTCAAAGGGGTCATCTAGTATTCCCTCAAAAAGCCAGGAATCAAGAACCTCAATATATGGCAATAAACATCCAACAAAGATATAGAGTAGCATCCTGTATGAATCTTCCTGTAAATAGCAGCAAAATGTATAGCTTTTTTAATCGACACTAACAACAGAAACTGAGTATCAGATGACCAATAAAGTGCCACAACCTCACCACCTTGCACAAGGCAAGCATCATTAAGCTTTTCATAAAGGTGGTTGAGAATGTGAACAGCAGTTTCAGCAGATGAGAGAGGCGTGTCACCTTCAATCGGGATGGCACCATGCACTATCTGCAATAAATATTCTGCTCCACCACAAAGCCTAAACATAAACATAAACATTAAACATGAATACATGATGTTTTTCTGCATTCACCATTCATAAAATAAATCCCAAACACTTCACATACCTTGTTAAAGAATTTCCCAATCCCAAAATGGTAGGAGCAGTCCCAGTATTAGAGTTGTTCATCTTTAGTTCCTCTGTCAAAGCAATATCGCGTAATTTCTGCTCTAAGGAGAAATCACTAATAAGCAGAAGCATACAACAGAACACAACGCGATAATGCCTGAATGTGTTGTGTGTCGTTACTTACTCTAAGCCAAGCAGAAGCTGAGGAAGCAAATGCTCTCAAGGTAGGTGGAGGCGACCTCGACCTGCCAGACATATCTTCTATCTGACAGAGCGTAAGCTCTACCAATTTCAAGCATGTTGCTGAATAAACAAATTGATCTAAGACCATACCAAGACTTGTCTGAGAGAGGTGCGTAACATATAACCCCTTTCTCGCACGATAACCCTGCTCGATCCCCTTCTCCCAGTAAAACAAACTGCTTGAAAACCCTTGAAGTATCTGTAACACACCTCTCACCTAAAACCCAAAAAAGCACTAATGATACTGCTTGATAACCAAAATGCGCGGAAAATCAAAATCAAACATACCAGATCAAATTCGTTTGTACGAGAACCAGGTAAGGGGGAAGCGAAATGCAAGGAACTAGTGAATTCACTGTTGATCTTGTCAATGAAACTTTTAGAAACTTCCATTTTTTTCAGTCTAAGGGCAACAAAATGCCAATACAAGCCCTATGTGGTACCCTAATTCTGGATGGGAACCGATCGACGGCGACTCATAGATTTTTCCGGCTGCCGAATGTTCGCCGAGGTTAGCAGACCTAGGAGATCAGTTCAAAAAGCGCGAAGAAATTGAAAATCCACAATAAAGAATCGCAACAACCATGCCCGAAGCCCGTTTAACAAGCGGGTTGGATTATATATCCATTTAGGTTTTCTTTTGTTTTTTAAGGTTTATTTCTCGAGTTTTAACAAAAATAATAATAATAAGATAAATTTACAAAAATAGTCATTTACACTAATGACATTACAAAAATAGCCAAAAAAAATTGAAATTACAAAAATGGTCACCCATTTCGTAGATGAGAAGGTCTCATCTGCAAAATGGGCTTCTCATCTGCGAAAGTACAAGTGCCTAAAGCACAACTATGCTTTAGGTGCTTGTACTTTCGCAGGTGGTTTTTTTTTAAATTTTTTGTTGTATAAATAGGGTTAATTTCGCAGATGGAATAGGTCCATCTGCGAAATCCTCTGACTCTATCTGCGAAATCGTTGTTATTTTTGTAATTTTTTTTTTAGGTTGACTATGAAATGGTTTGTTTTGACTATGAAATCAGGTTGCTATATAAATAGTTTTGTAGAAAAAATATCATTTTGGTTGTTATTTGTTTATGAACTCTCTCTACAATTTGCTCAAAAAATGATTGAATATATGGTTTGTCTTGTAACCGGTGGGAGATGGCAAGTTAATGGAACTAATCTGGAATACATATGTCCACAGGGAGGTATTTCTGAACTTGCTTTGATATTTTCTGAGTATATTAGTTATAGTGATTTTGTATCTTTGGTAAGAAGCAAAATTGGTTTGTTAGACAAATATAGAATTAGTCTTCGTTTCCACCATCCAGAATTAAATTATTATATAGCTATAGTTGAAGACATAGATGTTAGAATGTTGATAAACGTAATCAAATGTAGTGGAGGAAGGGCTGTGAAAGTGTTTGTGGTGGTTGATGAAGTTGAGGAGGTTAATGGGGGTGGTGAAATTGGAAACCAGGTTGTTGGTAATTTATGCAGTTATAAAGGGAGCAACGATCCGATAGGTACTTTCAATACTCCTAGTGTACCTCAGTTTCACAGTGTTGCTGAAAATGTTAATGTTAGTTATTCACCTATTCACTATGTGGAACCTGAGAATTACAAGTCTGTTGGTGATGATGATGTTGGTGCATATCTTAATCATGTGGGTGGTCGTTGTGATGATGTTGCCGAACAAGAAGTTAAACTTATGAATAGGCGTGTGGTAGATAAAACTAAAAAGAAAAAAAATTCAAGTCAAAAAAATGAAAAAAATCATGTTTACGGGCATTATGTTGATGTTGGTGATGTATGTTTAGATATAAGCGAGCTACAAAGCAATTCCGATAGAGATGAGTTGGGTGATGAAGTTAAAGCTAAGTTTCCCGATAACCTTTTTCACGGTATGCCCCCTGTACCAGCATGGCCAGTTGATATTAATGAAGATATCCCAACACAGATGGTAGACATGAATCTTCAAAAGATTCAATGTGAGAGTATATTTAAGAACAAAGAACTTTTAAAGCGGTGTATTGGTAAAAAATGTCTTCGAGAAGGTTTCCAGACGAGGACAAGTAGATCCACCAAATCAAGGTATGAAGCTGTGTGTGTTTCGAAAAATTGTTCTTGGTTACTAAGAGCAAAAGCAATTAAAAATTCTGATGGACTTTTCCAAGTGAATAAATTTGTTGATGTACACACATGTTCTTCAACATTGTTGCAACCTAATCATCGACAAGCAAACAAATATGTTTTGGGTGAATATGTTGCTGATGTTTTGGCTGAAGACTATAGTAGAGTTTATCGGGGAAAAGAAATTGTTAATGATATGAATGCTCAATTGAATATCAATATCTCATACCATCAGGCATGGCGTGCGAAGCAATATGCATTGTTGTCGTTAAGGGGTTCGAAAGAGGATTCTTTTACCAAACTTCCGGCGTATTGTCACAACTTGGCCAAACATAATCCGGGTACTGTCACACATATTAAAATAGATGTTGTGATCGCTTTGAGTTTTTGTACGTCGCACTCGGTTGCTCGGTTAGTATTATCATATTATATTAATTTTTAATTTTTATTTTGGTGTATTTGAATAGATATACAATGTATTGTAGGTACGCGCTTTTGTCAATTTTTGTAAACCGACCCTAGTAGTAGATGGAGCTCACCTAAAGGGCGAGTTCAAAGGTACCATGTTACTTGCAGTTACTAAGGATGGACAAAACCAAATATTACCGGTTGCATATGGTATATGCAAAAATGAGTGTACCGATTCTTGGACATGGTTTTTTCAAAAACTACGTGATTGCATAGGAAATATGCAGGAGCTTACAATTATATCTGATAGGTCTCCATCTATAGCAACATCCGTTGCCAACATTTTTCCTCACGCTCATCATGGAATATGTGGTGTCCATTTGTATTTCAACATAGTCTCTAGATTCGGCAAGAGTAAGACGGTTAAAGGAATTTTTTGGGAGGCGTGTAGGGCGTACACAGTTGATGCTTTTGATGCCGCCATGGATGTTATGAAAAAGACAAAAGAACCAGTATGGGAGTATTTGAAAAGTATAAATCCAGAAACTTGGTCCAGAGCACATTTTAAAGGGAACCGATACAATCTTATGTCGTCCAACAGTGCGGAGTCTATAAATGCATTATCTAGACACGCACGTAAGGTGCCAATACTTATGTTGATCGATTTTTTTCGTGCTACAATGCAACAATGGTGGTTTCAAAGACGTAACTTTGCAGGTATTAAGTAAATTTTTAATATTAATGTTTTATTAATTTTGATGTTATTGATCTTAACTTCTTCATTTTGGCTCTTTTTTTAGCGGAAGCAACAACAATTCTTACCCCTTGGGCGGATGAAATTGTAAAAGAGAACAAGAAAAGTTTTAGCAAATGGGATGTTCGCATGATCTCAAATACGAAATGCGAGGTAAAAAGGGGGCACAAAATGTGATTGTTGATTTCAAACATATGACATGTACATGTAGGCATTGGCAACTTGATGGGATACCTTGTGGTCATGTCATAAGATGTTTAACAGTGAACAATTACGAAGACTGCTCGAGGTATGCATTAAATGCTTACTTTACCGAAACACTGAGGAAAACATATGAGGAATCAATAAACCCTCTGCCAAAGCCATCCGAATGGGAGATCCCCGATGATTTGATGATTGTTAAGCCACCAATAATGGATAAACGTCAGCTAGGCAGGCCAAGAAACACAGACCGCATTCCATCCCAAGGCGAGGGTCCAATTATAAAAGAGTGTTCTACAGGTGGTCAAATTGGACACACGAGAAATAATTGTACTGGAAGGGCGTTTGGTAGCGGAGCACGTCACATAATTTCTACTGCAGAAATGACATTTAATATTGGTGGTTCAGCGAGTTCAACTTTTTGAATTCATAGTCAAACCAGTTCATTTCATAGTCAAATTTCACTGACCGACAAGACAATACTACAGAATGTACTTGTCTGGATTTCATAGTTCAACTTTTTGAATTCATAGTCAAACCAGTTCATTTCATAGTCAAATTTCACTGACCGACAAGACAATACTACAGAATGTACTTGTCTGGATTTCGTAGTTCAACTTTTTGAATTCATAGTCAAACCAGTTCAATTCATAGTCAAAAAGATTTGTCTGTAACATGATTTCTTCTATAAAAGGGTGTCACTCAGTATGAAAACTGTATCAGTCAAAGCAACTCCTATTTATAAGAAAAACAAGGCTAATGGCATACTGCAATTGCGGAGGAGAACGTATCGTTAGGATTTCGGGAACATCTAAAAACCCAGGAAGATTGTTTTACGCTTGCCCATATTTGGTATCATGTTGTTAACGTCATTCAAATTTAAACCCTCGTGTTTACATCACAAAAATTTATTTTCTTACTGTGAATATTAAATTTAACAGGGACCAAAATGCGGGTTTATCAGTTGGGTTGATGAAGAGAAGGACCAATCTTCTATGGTAATAGCTAAAGTAGCTAACTCTAATAAGCTCTTTCAATCAGAAAATAAGAAGTTAAAGATAGCGTTGGTTTGTAGTTGGGTGTTGTTCTTGGCAGTTCTTGTTTACAAGTTGTAAGCTTTTCAATATTGTTTTTATGGTTTTGAAGTTGTTAGGTCAATAAATTGTTGTATTTGTAACGTTAAAACAAATGTTGTAGTCGTTCTTATGTTGTATGTAATGTTAAGTAATTAGTAGGTCATTAATTTGTTGTAATTGTCGTAACGTTATATTTTTTGCCGTCCGTTGAGTAAACTGTAAAAATAAACTAATAATGAAATCCAACATTAATTTGTATATACATTTATATAATCCAACTACATAGGACCAAGACAAGACCCCCAAATAATTTTTGCCATCCGGAGACGGAACTCTAAAGCTGCGTTCTTTGGGTCAATAAGAACACGTATTGGTTGACCTGAAACCAATTGCTCCATAAACATACAAAGAAATACACCGCAATCTCCCAAATGACTACTTTGTTGGGGAACGTTTTCTTCATAAATGAATTGCATATTCAATGGAATCCTTGGGATGTTCCTCCAGGCCCAATACTTAATCTTGTCCAAATAATTTGCCACCCGACGTTCAAATTTGGAAAAGATTCCTTCAGATTGGAATTTTTCATAAGCACCTCTACCAAGACTGTCATAAATATGCACTTCCATTGACGACAATCGTAGTTCCCCAAATAGCCAATGATTAGGGATGAATGAATCGGCAATAAGACCTGTATAAGGATCAGAAAATAAAATTATGTTTATTTACATCACAATACAAAAACATCACAATACAAAAACATAACAAAAAAAAACGATATTATTTTCAATATAAACTATTAAGTTTACCGTATCAACATCCCACCAAGCAACCATGAAGTTGGGGTACGTAGCAATACCAGCCATAAACGCCCTCCAGTCCTGTCCTTCTTCCAAAGCATGAGAAACAAAAAAATTTGGAGGCATTATTGTATGTCGGTCGCTCTCAAACCGTCTCTCCATCAAAAGTCGGTACCAAATGGTTA